TTTTTGTGGTTACAATTTTTGTACCACCTCGATTCTTTTTTAGCACAGCTCCTTCGAAAATTGTCCACAACTATTAGGTGGAATCAAAAGTGCGTTCGCCAAATTTTCAAAAAATCATAATTTCTTTTCGACTGAGTGGATCTCTTTGATTTTATATTCGTCTAAGAGAGGAAATCATTCTCTTTACAACGGTATCTCTGCCAAACTAGCTCAAGAAATTTCCGAGTAAGCAATTAAAGATTACTCAAGACTGGCATTTTTCAAGCAAGGTCACCAAAAATTCTGAAATTTTTCGACAAAAATTTTTTTTCAGAAATCGAAATCCGAAAACTCGGTAATCGAAAATCAAAATTGCTCTCGATTGGCACGAATTTCTCACAACTAAAAAGAGAAGGTCACTAAAGCCATGTTCACATGACTTTCCCGTCCCTCCCGACGCAAACTGAAGCAATTCTCTTTTTTGCTTCTAATTCTCAATTTTTGTTTTTGAAAAATGCACTTTAGTAAAGAACATAGCTTTCTCTATCGAAAACTACTTTTAGAATTTTTTGGTGACCCTGCTTGAAAAATGCCAATTTTGAGTAATTTTCTTTAATTGCTTCTGACTCGCGAACTTTCTTAAGCCAATTCATTTCAGAGATACCGTTGTAAAGAGAATGAATTTCTCTCTTAGATGAATATAAACGCAAAGAGATCCATCGAGTCGAAAAGAACTTACGATTTTTTGAAAAACTGGCGAACGTACTTCTGGTCTCACCTAATACTTCGAATCTGAAAATTTTTGAAAATATTTCAGTATTCACCAAGAGCTTATAGATCATTTTGAAAATTTCGGTGACCCATTATTCTCCCCCTCCGCCCTCGTTTTGATATATTTCCACCCAATCACTTCTGCTTTATTTAAATCCACAGTGCATATTTTCTACAAAGTGATAGTTTTAAATTACTTGCGTTATTATTTCAATCGCACATAAAGCAAAGAAGTTCGACATACCTGAACAAGGGCGTTGTTAGACGAAGTCCCTCCGTTGAGTCCTTTTCCCAGCAGCTTGGTGATGGTTGTTCACACACCTGCACCGATGCCTGAAAGAGTATTTAGAACTAGCTGGCTTACCCGGCTCCGCCGTATCCGGACCAAACTTGGCACACATACACTTCGGGCCCCGGCGGGTGTCACAGTCCACTTTTCGTTATCGATCGATGTCGATTTAACCGATTTTTATCGATTTTTTCGCAGAGTTCACTTACAGGGCTAGGAGTTGGCACAGGGGGAAGTGAGCATGGGGATTCCGAATACGATATTAGTTTTCAGAATTATCGGTTACTTTTATTGATTTTCTCGATTTTTTGTAAATTTTGACATGCGAGGCTGGGATTTTGCACAGGGGGGTAATCGAGCATGCTGATTACGAACACAATATTAGTTTTCAGGATCGTCCATTACTTTTATCGATTTTATCGATTTTTTTGTAAAGTTTGACCTGCGGGGCTGAGAGTTTACACAGAGGGGTAATCGAGCATGCAGATTACGAATACAATATTAGTTTTCAAGATCGTCCATTACTTTTATCGATTTTATCGATTTTTGAAAATTTGAGCTAGGGGCTGGAATTTTGCACAGGGGTGTAATCGAGCATGCTGATCACCCCCCTTGGGAGTGATCAGCATGCTCGATTACCCCCCTGTGCCAACTCCCAGCCCCCTAGCTCAAACTTTGCAAAAAATCGATGAAATCAATAAAAGTAATCGATAATCCCGAAAACCAATATTGTATTCGGAATCCCCATGCTCGATTATCCCCCTGTGCAAACTCCCAGCCCCGTAGCTCAAACTTTGCAAAAAAATCGATAAAATCGATAAAAGTAATCGATAATCCTGAAAACCAATATTGTATTCGGAATCCCCATGCTCGATTACCCCCCCTGTGCCAACTCCCAGCCCCGTAGCTCAAACTTTGCAAAAAAATCGATAAAATCGATAAAATCGATATCGATCGATACGAAAAGTAGCCTATGACACCCGCCGGGGCCCGAAGTGTATGTGTGCCAAGTTTGGTCCCGATCGGTTCAGAAATGGAATTTTCTATTCGGAACATACGTACAGACATACAGACAGACAGACAGACAGACAGACATACATACAAACAGACATTCAGCTTTATATATAAGATATGGATGAGTACACGTTTATTGACGCCAACATTGAAGGAAAGAAAAAAAAGAGAAGGAACAGAAGTGAAACAGTATGGAAGAAAAGAGTGCGCTATGCGCTGTTGATGTTGCGTTTGCTATTTCGCAATCGCAAGTGCATGCGCTCTCAAAGTCCTGCGGAAATGCTAGCGAGTCAAAGTGCTGCGGAAACCTTGCGAGCCTCACTGCACTTTCGCAGCGCTTTATGGAAAGTGCTGCGGAAGTTCCGGTTTACGATCGCTATGACTTCAATTTCCTGCGGAAACCTTGCATTCTGGAGCGTGCACTTTCTCAATGGTTAAGAAAGTGTGCGGAAACGCTGCAAGTTCTGCTTGTCCTGCGAAAGTTCCGGTGAATTGTCTGAGGTAGATTGCGCAGTACGCGCCAAACGCTTGTAGCAGTACAAATCGCTACTGTACAGTTGTGATCTTGTGAGATTCCAGTTACTCCTTGCGTCCGCAATCTTTGGCCAGTCTGGTCGGTTGACGACTCGAAGATACTTCGATAAATGAGAACCTTATCAAACAATTTTCGATAAGAGATGATGATGTGGTGAACTCCTCTTTACTGACAATGCAATCGTCGGTCTTTCACTAGACGCGATTCTCGGCTGTCATTGATAGATATTTCCATAGTACAAATGTACAGTCTATGTCATCCACGTACTCCGATGGCAAATTTCTCGAAGCTCTTGGTCTTTTGTATGCATTGAGTTCAATACTGTGCTTGAAATCTCTCGAAGTCAAAAAAAGTATTTTCTATGACGTTTTACGGCTTTGGAGAATGCTGAAGGGGCTGAGCGATTCCCGGCAACTGAGGCAGCCAAATGCCGCCAAAATGAGTGAAGTGACCCCGCTACCGCAACCAATCGGCCTTTGGCGGAAATTTTTCCTCCGGCCCTATAGCAATCTCCAAAGCCGGAAAACGCCATAAAAAACTTTTTGACAATTTCGACAGGATTCAAGCACAGCACTGGACTCAGCGCATCCAGAAGGCCCAAGAGGGATGGATAGCTCGCGGGGTTGTTTCAGACTCCCGCACTGACCGCAGCAGACTGCAGCAGACCGCAGCTGACTGCAGCTGACCGCAGCAGACTGCAGCAGACTGCATGACCGCACTGACCGCAAGGGCCGCACAATTCGCTGCATCCTTTCGTAAAGAAGGAGAGGATAAATAGTTGTACCCCAAACAATCAACAACAATATATGCCTAACCCAAAAGGCAACATGAGCGAGAGTAAAACAGGTATACGCAATAAATGAGGAATAAGAACAAATATGAGCATACCAAAGAAAAACAACCGCCAAAATCTGATTGAGAAGAGTAAGTCAGAACGTATGAACTTCCTAGGCGTAAATCACGGTGTTTTGACGTAATCGCATTTGTTTTCTCTTTTAAGAAAGGTTGCAGCAATCTGTGCGGTCGTTGCGGTCAGCTGCAGTCTGCTGCAGTCAGTGCGGTCAGCTGCAGTTTGCTGCAGTCAGTGCGGTCAGCTGCAGTCTGCTGCAGTCTGCTGCGGTCAGTGCAGTCAGCTGCAGTCAGTGCGGCAGTATGAAACAACCCATAAACAGTGACTGGCTGCAGGATTGTAACTCCACCCATTTTGGCGGTAATTGGCTGATCGGCTCACGCAGTCAATTGCGATGTTGGCGTTAATCCTTCGCCCATTCCTTCAGCTATCTCCAAGGTAGGAAGACGCCGTAAAAAGCATTTTTTAACATTTCAAGCATAGCACTGGACTCAGCGCATCCAGAAGGGCGTGCAGGTGTGGAAAGTTCGCAGTCGCAATCTCCCGTGCCACTCACTGCCTTTGAATTGCATAAACCCAAGAAAGTCATCACTAGCAATACACTGGATCATCTCCTTTCGCCCCGTACATATTTGCAGCCCATCAACACATTGCAAACATTTGGCCTACCGACTCATAGCAGTGAACAGTGAGCAACAAGAAACAGAAGAAGAACCTACAATTTATGATCGGCTCCCAGATTCGTGTGGAGGTGTATTGCAAACTTTGCCTGATTACACTTGTAAACTTGCTAAACCTCCACGTCATAGCATTGCTTTTCGTAATCTCTCGCCAGCAAAAACCGCCACGCGGTGAGTTGGCAAGACTCCACCTCCACACGAATCTGGGAGCCGATGATACCGGTTGTAGGACGTTTCGCACGACCGTACTGCTTCCCACACAGGACCACCGCCGCGTGCGACACACCCTGCGGCGGCTTTTGCCTAAGCAAAAGAGGGGGAGGAAAGATTTGCGGCGTGCATTACATGTTAAGACAGGTCAAATTCAGGGAAACTCTGGAGACCGCCCGTGCGAAAAGAGCGTCTCCCGATGATACCTGATAACATAATTATTCAGTGCCCACTGCTGACCACCAACGCGAAGAATCTCACTCAAATGTGGTTATCATTTCTCATCACTTCGCAACAAACGCTCTTCTCTTAGTCTTCCAAGTTTAATGAATCCATGCAAAGATCTATTGATGGAGCAAGAATGGAAGCCGTGCCATAATTATGATGATTCCAAGGTCTTTTGTATCGATATCCTCCAAGAGAGAAGGAACAACAAAATGATTACTGACTACAATAGCGAAAAGTTGGCCAGTTTTCTGTCGTAATGATTCTCTATACTCTGGCAAACACTGTTGGTGTTCACCCAATCATCCTTACCAAAAGCTCGATGAGTAAAAAAGATTCAGAGTACTTCGCAAAATAGCTTATCTAATTATCTCTGTATTTCGAGTAATTCCACCATTGACTAGAACATTTAACAACAACAACTTTATAACATTATATATCAACAATTTAGGCTTTGCTTTCTGCGAGGAAGTCCTTTTTGAGCTTGCCCATGAAAGCCTTCTTTTCAGCGGTAGTTTGGAATCGACCATGTCCTGTCTTCGAACTCGTGTCGATCCATTTCAAGTTGATCTTCTCATGAGCGAATCTCTTAGTTTGTGTAACAAGCGATTTCCTCAAGGTGATCAAACGTTTCTTTGGTCCCATAACAGCTCCACGCAGCATAACGTAATCTTGATTGACCACACCGTAGCGGGGGAAGCCACCCTACAACGAAGTACTGAGTTGGCACACAAGAACATATCAACGAAACGTAGAGAAACACCCTCAGCCACACAAGTCTCCGTCAGGAATACGGAATTGCAGACTTTCTCATCATAGGGCACACCAAAATAAAGCCAACTTACCATGGGGTTGATACTCTTCTCGGTAAGATCGAACTCAGTAGCTCCATTGTTCTTGCCCTCTGGTGTAAGACATGAACGTCCAATTCTGTACACCTTATTGTTCTTGTGTGTGCGATGATGGTAACCCTTCTGACCAGCGCGAGCCACAGTAAAGGCAACACGAGAAGGATGCCATGCACCAATACAAGCAACCTGACGGCAAATCAGTCTTAGCTGACAGGTGAAAAGAAACAAGCGAGTGATTACCTTACGGAGACCTTTGTGGGTCTTTCGTGGGAGCTTCTTAGTACCCCATCTGCTCGTGACACCTTTGAATCCGTGTCCTTTCGTTACACCAATAGTATCAATCATCTCATCTTGCGAGAAAACGGTGTCGACAGGAACTTGCTTCTCAAGGTGTTCTCTAGCCCAGTTCACTTTCTCCTCAATTGTTCCTCCGTTAATTTGGATTTCAACGAGGTGAGCCTTCTTCTGCTTGCGGTTCAGGATTTTCATCTGAATGAGAGCAGTTGACCTGAGCCATGATAGACATTTGACTAGCAAAACTTGCATATTTTCGAAATCAGATATAGAAGGACGAGCGTTCAAGAAAAGACTCTCAATTTTAGAAGAAAAGCTAATCATCTGACCTGAGTGTGGGCAACAACTCGAATGGCAGAGCAGTACTTCTTCATCTTGTTGAGATCGGATTCAATGACCTTCTTGCCGTCTTCATCTTGCCATTTCTTGGCGTACTTCGTGAACGCCTTCTTTTTCGACTTGCACCTACAGATGGACTATTGAACTACGTGGTTTCGCAGCACCTCATAGGTAGCCGCGTGTGCCACAGCAAGTTCAAATTCTTTCTTACTCTCAAAGAGCAGCGGAAAGATATCATCATTACTTGCCAAACAATCATACTCATGCACAAAGCGCAGAGGAGATGAATGAATGACACTGCGTTCTGCCTCAAACTGTAACAGCCCAATAGACAGAGAAAAGACTAGATATATTCTTTGGAGCTAACCAGTTCTTGTAGAAGCGACGACGGCAATCCTCGCTAAGGTGCTCGGCGAAAACAGACTTGAACGGACGTGGACCTCGTGGAGTGTCGATGTAGCCGACGATTCCGACGATCACCATCGGGGGAGTCTCGATGATGGTCACAGCCTCTACGACCTCCTTCTTGTTTACCTTTGATCCTGGTTTATCGACCTGCGAAACAATAAATTCATTGTTGGAACCGTTTAACGATGAGTTTTCTTTTCAATCGATCACTCACCTCACGGACGATGTGAGTCATTCCAGCTTTATAACCGAGGAACGCTGTGAGATGAATCGGCTTTGACGGGTCATCTTTTGGGAAGGCCTTTATTCTTCCTCGATATGTCCTAGAGCGCTTCTTGGGCGCAAATCCCATGGATCCGTGCCTTGGCGCCGAGAATTTTCGGTGCGACATTGTACCCTGGAAGCAAATCGCAACATATCGAGCTTTCTATAACATTACGCCGTTTGTAGGGAAGGACGAGGAAGACAAAACACATTACAACAATGCACGAATTTCTGTCTTTGCCCCTCAGCCCCAAGCATAACAAGTCCTACTCACTACACGAGGTATATGATCGGCTCCCAGATTCGTGTGGAGGTGTATTGCAGACTTTGCCTGATAACACATGTAAACTTGCTAAACCTCCACATCATAGCATTGCTTTTCGTAATCTCTCGCTAACAAAAACCGCCACGCGGTGAGTTGGCAAGACCCCACCTCCACACGAATCTGGGAGCCGATGATACAAAGAGAAAGGAGCACATCAAATTCGATCATCAAGTCACCCTAGTAAGTCCGAAAACGTAAATGAGCACCAAGCAAATGAAACGAGGGGTTGGCAAATTTTAGGCCACAAGTGCATTACGGTAGCGGGTCATGGAGCGAATTGTGCGCTGGCGTTCGCATTTCGCCGCCAGATTTTTCCTGGAGCGCGGCAAGCTCGGTCGTCCCGAACACTCAATTTTTATGTTGCGGCTATCAAAAATCGCAGGACACGGTTTTTAGAGTTTCTACGTGGCTTTTTCTTACCTATAAAAACTGCGCTGACATTCCGACTAACGATAAGTCGCTTATTCGAAAACTCTCTTCTAGGCCTTCATGAGAGGAAGATGTTTGACAACCACAATTTCACGCAAAAGTTGGTAGGAAGTCGGGGATAGAATTGAAGCCTACTACTTCTACCAAATCATTCCTGATTTTCACAAGCTGGGGAGGCGAGGCGGAGGGGAGAACAAAACTTCACAAATCAATACAAAGCAAATTTGCTTCTGGGGATTTTTTTGAACATTTTTTCAAAAAAAAAAAACTATTATGAAGAAACTTCACCATCGTCATTGTTGAAAAAAGTGCACTAATTGTGGCTCGAATTTTTAGGTGCCCAAACTTAGAATAAGAGAAATTATCAATGCAAGCTTACGGAAAGAAGTATTCGGAGCTTAATCAAGATTGCAGACGAATGATAAATGAAGTGAGGTAGTTTTATAACGAGCTATCTAATTGGCAACTCAGCAACCATTAAAAAGGCAAACATGTTCCAAAAATGCGGTAGGGACAGTTTTTGAGCGTGGAGATGAAAGGGAAAAAGGGAAAAGAGGAACGAGCACAACATGTATGGTACATACTGTCAAAATGTCCCCTGCAATCAAAAGCATAGACCGCTAATAACAACAATTTTATTCTCTTCTACAAACTGCACACTTTTTCTTCTACGAGAAGTGGTCCTCAGTGGAGAGACGCCCAAACTATCGTATTTATTCGTCTCAGAAAGAAAGCATGTCACACCTACTGCTATTGAAACGAGCACACCTGTGAAGACCACTTTCGCGTAATAAAGCAACTTCTTTAACGGTAAGAAAATACATGATAAACGAAGAAAAAACGTTAGAAACAAAACAAGCTAGTCCGAAAGATGAGTTACAATCGTACGGAGGTAAACATCGTTACAAACTTCGAACATATATGTCTTCTAAGTACATGCAATATGACAAGAATTTGTACATAAACTATACAACATTGCAATGGTGGATGGACAGGTAGGAGAAGGTGTGTCCGGAAGTCCATAGATTCTGAATGGTAGAATCATGGGTGGAGGAACGAACACCTCAATTAGGCACCGCCTCCGCGGGGACCACTGGTCCCAGCACGATGCACAACGGTAGGACGAAAGGACCAGCAGCCACGGAGGCGATGCCTAATTGAGGCGTTCGTTCTTCTACCCTAGAATCATAAATTTTGCATAATCCGCTTGCATATAAAATTATCAGTAGCCAGAAAGGAATCGGCCTTTCATAATAGTTTGTTTTTAGAGAATTCAAATAGTGGCGCCTAGACATGTTTTCACGCTTATCCTTCTCTGAGACTCTGTCCATCATCTTCTCCAAAGGCGGGCTAGAAGATGTTTTCTGGAGGGGGGGGGGGGGGGAGGCGAAGGTGGTAAGAAAAATGCTTTTTGGCTGCGCTTTCCAGAACTTTCGCGAGCATATGACTCCGAAATTTCAAGGAAAAGGGCATGGCCACAGTCATGCACAGAAAAAGTTCGTTACAGAGCTAATTTGAATTCTTGAAACCTTGCAAAACTTTCGAATTTTTAACAAATTAAAACAAGTTACTACTGCACTCGCCTTCCCCTCCCTCTTCCCCCCCCCCCCCCCTTCTCCCCGCAGTCTGCCACTTCCTCTCCTCTTCTCAAACTTTCACCTCACCCTAGAAAAAAGGTCAACTCCTTTGCAGTTAAGGATTGAGTTTTTGTGAGCATCAAACATCTTCGTAATTGACCAGTAGAAAGTTGAAAGATGGCAATGTTCTTAAATGCACTTGTGATAATTTCAAACAAATGCCGGCATGCAGACAGTCATTTTGTTCAAGGTAATTCCATCCTATCAGAAGCAGATGAGAAGCATCGCCTGACTTTGCAGTTGGCAGGAAGGTCAACGAAGAAGACGATCGGCGAGGGAAAATTCTTGATCAGTTTATAGTCTGGTAGTTCGTCTATACTCGCAAATGAGTCGGCGTTGCCCAGCGGAAATCCTCTGAATCTACGTTTTCTGCGGCTCTTCCTAGCAGATAGCAACTGTTTATCGATGCCCTGACCGTCTATTTTTTCTGAAAGAACAATTAGTTGTAGAACAAAAATAAAACAATCTGTCAAACCTTCGACTCGACGACGTTTTGCACGAGGTTGTTCAGCGTAGCTCATTAGCCGTAGTTCCTCGAAAGCGGCTTCGTCCTTAGCAGAGATACGATAACGATGACCTTCGAAGACAAGATAGTCGTCATAGTCGGTGTCTTGTCTGTCTACTTCGTCCGGATCAAGACGCGATAGGCCTGGCATCTATATGCAAATGCGAGAAACGTTATGTAATAATGAAAGATAATGCTAAGGCAGGCGCCAGACTAAGCGACTATTTTGTTTAGCTGCAGAAGGTGCGCAGAATCAACATTACCTAATTTTGCGCGGTCCTGCAGCTGAGGCAGGCAATCGTGCGTAGATTTTAACGTTAATTCTGCGCGCCTTCTGCAGCTGAACAAAATAGTCGCTTAGTCTGGCGCCTACCTAAGACTTACAAGGTGTTCTTTTTCCCACAGTGGCAGCCATTCTCCCTTGTTATTTGTTTTTCCAATGACAGCCTCCAAATCGTCGTCTGACTGAAAACTGCTACTAAAGGCATATGTCATTTTGGAATAGTTTATTTATTAAGCTGTCCGGAAAATGATGTCAAATCATAGGTTATCTCGCATTGCGGTTTGATAATACGAATAAAAATTAGGGAGGTACTGTTTGGTAGAGCAAAATAAGCTCTACAAGATGAAGTTCATACATACGCAAAAGTTTGATTTACGTGCAGTTTGAAGGCAATTTGCAAAGGGCCTCAAGTGTCTAACAATCGTGATTTCGCCCAAAAAATCACAGAGACCCAAGAAGGCAGACATTAACCTGGGTGATCTGAAGATAACAAGTTCCAACTTGGGCTTTGATGTATCTGAAATTGTCACAGATCCTCTCTTCATTTTTATCATCAAATTTGCGACCGTCCACCCTGAGGCCAAATTTCGGAACTGTATCTTTAGACCATTAGTTGATGGGCAGGACCATCGTGCCCGCTTTATAGAGGGGTTTTCTCCTTTGAAATTCATCTTCTCCAGCGAGACTAGGGCGATCGATTACTTACAGGCCCCGCTATTATATAACATCAGAAAAACTCATCACCCTCAGATTGTGTGGACGGTGTATGAGTTGTCAGGCATCATGAAAACAGAATGGCCCTCGCTAAGCTCGTCTTTGGCAGTGTAGATATAGCGCCCACAATTTTGACCGGTTTCTCTAGAGCCAGTAGGTTTTATCAGAGTCACACTTTTAAACTCAGGATTCAAGCTGATTCTGGCCTAGATGGCTCAACCTGAATGGCCATTTCGATGTGGAGAAAAGGATGGTTGGTCGGAGTTGTTTGTGATGTGATGCATACTGTTGGGCGATGATAACCGGGAGACGGTCAAGAGGCGCGATTTTTCTGGCTGTCACCAACTTAAAACTCCAGTTTCAGGCTATGGGAGAGTTTAAAAAGTGCCGGACATACTCCATGGCTTACTAGCTGTTTGAAGTAACCATTTGACAAGTTTGACGGCGTCTGCTAGAAGACTGACCGGATTATCTACAAAATTGCTATTGAGTGCATATTCAAGGGTTTTTGACCTTCAACAATTTCGTTTGGAATTGATTTCAGGATGATGAGATGGAGTAATCCGTGCAATTACCAAAAATATTTCGTTTGAGGTTTCAAGTGATTCTAGAACTTTATGAAACACTACATATGTGCTATAAGCTGCCCATCCGGCAACAAGAATCGCGCCTCTTGCTTGATCTGACAAGAGGTTTCATTGAAAAGTTACGAAATCACTGTTACTCGATTTTTATAACATCCGCGCAGCTTCTCTGAGCATGAAGTGGCCCAAAGCAGTCTTATCCCGCTAGATGTTTTTCTCGTAACAAACAATTCTCTGCCATGGGATTTGACTGGCTCACAGCTTGTGGCGTCCTAACTGAGCAACGTTCCAAGCCGATACAACCTTCATGATCTGGCAAAGCTCTATATGGAAACAGCTTAACATTTTGTACAACTGCAAACCCTGTCCTGTCATTGCACGGGGCCCATGATGCTGGCAGCAAGGTAGGGACCGATTCTCTTACCATGCCAAGATTGTCAAAAAGACTCTACGCTTACTTACCAGTTTCAGCTCATTCCCATGCCTCTGCTCTCTGAGCGATCCCAAACTTTGCTTAATCATCGATAATAGATCTACAGCAGTTAGTTTTGCTTCTGAAAATGAAATGTGTTGCAATTAATCCAAACAAAAACATTCGACGACATACCGTCGTTTCCCATGACCTTATCGGTATACTTCAACTTCTCTCGTATGCGAGCATGCATATGTTGTTCCACGGTATAGCGACCAATGAGGCAGATAACTCGGACCGGTCTGTGTAATTGCCAGAGGTAAAAATCAAAAATGCAACTTGCATGCATCAGAAGCATACTTGGACTGTCCAATCCGATGACAGCGAGCCATTGCTTGGATATCATTTTGTGGGTTCCAATCAGCATCTAAGATGATCACGGTGTCGGCCGCGCTAAGATTTAGACCAACCCCACCAGCTTTAGTGGAAAGTAGAAAACACCATGGATCCTCTGCGAAGTGTTGTCAGATTAGAATAATCACACATGGTATAGTTATACTGCTACCAAGAGTTGCTCTTGGTTTCTTCAGAGTTCTCTGGAAATTGTTGATTGCTCTAAATCTTTCTTCGGCCGGAACATTTCCATCAAGACGTTCGTACTCATAGCCTAGAGCAAAACTTGTTGTCTTGCAACAAAATGGAGGATAATACCTCTCAGCTCTAGGAGATCTTGAACGATATCCAATACTCTTACAAACTGAGAAAAGACAAGACATCTATGCTGCTTCTTTTTTAGATACAAAAGAAGTCGATCGAGGATCTGAAAGTATGTGGAGATTATGCCGCTATTTTTAGGACGTGTAACTTCAACAAATTTTGAAGGATTCTGGACAAAGCGTGTTGAATTGATTTCTTGGTTTAACGTAGATTATGTTGTGAGCGACAAATGTGGCTGATTTTTTTTTTGATTTTTTGGAGGCAAAGTAGAAATTTACACAATTTTCAATAACATGATTCACGCTATGGCAAAAAATGAGTGCGTCACAAGGTAGAATAAAAAATGAACAAACAGTTCATGCTGTGTCTGATGCAGAATTTTTTCCTCTTTCCAGATGCTATATTCCCTGTGGATTCGATGAGGTGCAGAGATAATCGCTGGAAACTACAACTCTACTTTCGCTGATTTTCAACATTCTTATTTGAGATTTGGGGGAGCTTCAATAGCCAGCAGGTAGGGCAAACCTTTTGCCAACTAAAGCAATTTTTCTTTTTTTAGCTAATCGAATTTTGCTGAATAATTCTCCGAAAGTCCTTAGTTTTGGAAAAATCGCATAACATGTTACTGCACCAAATACTGAAAAATCAGGACGCTGAAGTTGCTCAATATTACCTAACTTTACAAAGTAAATTAAAACATAGAATGAGAATCAAAATAAGCCGAATATAAAATTTGGTTAGTTTAAAAAATATATTTCGGAATCCTAAGAGACAAGCCAAGCGCTGCAAAAAATTGCTTCAGCTGGCAAAAGGTTTGTTCTATATGCTGATTAGCAAAGCTCCCTCAAAAGCCTCAGATAAATTTCTTGAAACTTAGCGAAAATCAGACATGGTGAAAAAAAAAAGGGGTTGTGATGTCCAGAGGTTATCTCGGCACTGTTTCCATGAATTACATCGTTACGGAAAGAGGAATAAATTCTGCATCGGATGCAACGGAGCTTGTGTTGCTCGTTTATCCTTGCTGTACGGGATTTGCGGGCAGGGCTCGGCACGAGGTGGCTAGTTGAAAATGCAAAAAACGATGTCCCCATTAAATTTTGCTGATTTTTACGAAGTCCCCTTTGACCGCAGACCAAAATCCGTAAAAATTCTCCAAAAAACGAAACGTCGACTAAAAAAAAGGTCGACGTCGGAAATTTTGTGTATTTTCGGCCACAAAAACGACCCCCTTTGCTTTTCGTCCCAAAAGCGACATCCATCTTGCTTGCTTGTAAGCCACCTGTGGAGCCCTGTTTGCGGTCATTTGAAAGAACTTACTTTCCACCGCTAATATTTCGCGCGAACACATGCCAAACACATCATAATTTGTAGATTGTTAGAAATTTGTGTACTAAAGCACAATTCATAAAGTCCCTGCTGTGCGAGTTGGTGTTTAGGGTGGATGACCCCGCCTTAACTTGTTTGTAAACTGCTGCAAACAGGGCCCGGCACGCGTTGGTTTGAAGCGTTTCTGGAAACGAAGTCCCCCATGACTTCGCGAAAATTTACGAAGTCCCTCTTGACGTAAAAATCAGTAGGGAAACCCTTAATCAGTCAAAATAACATTAAAAAAGCGAAAAAAGCGCATTTTGAGGTAACTAATACAACAAAAAAAGCAAAAAGACAGCATTTCGAATTGATTAAAGGCTCTGTCATTGGGTAGTGTATCATTTTAGCGCTCAGAATGTCGAGAACCTCCTAGGCCAACCAAATCTGTGGCCTCAACAATCTGGCAGTGCATTTTTCGCCACATAGTTCAAAGGACACCGCGTGTGATTGGAGCGCAATATCTATCAAGGCGTATAGATTTGCACTACTTTTGGCTCAAAAGAAGAGGAGAGGCAATGGTTTGACTCACTCTCTTCACTATATAATAGATTTTTGAGCATTTTAATCGTCCAAATCAAAAAGGTCCAAAACTTATGTGAACTCTCCGAAATTTATGCTCCGAACCAACCCAGTTGGTTCGGTGGTTGGTCTAGAAACCAACAAATCCGGAACGGGTATTCAGACACATAAGTTTTGGGAACTTTTTACATAACATAGTTTGGAGTAATATTGTATACTCATAGCCCAAATTCGGAGCCATGTGATTGTTTGTGCGCTGTAAACAAGCCATTTGTTTGTTTGAGTCTTGCATTTGAAATTCGCGCGCTTGCGAAAGAACACGTTCAGCTCATGAAACCTGACATGTTCGTCGTGTTTTTTGGCGCTTCCTCCAGAACCTCATAAAAACGATGTCCCCGTTGCTTCTAACTCCAAAAACGAAGTCCAGTTTGACCCCAAACCATCGGTGCCGGGCCCTGGCTGCAAATATGTGGTAATACGTAGGTACATGTATGGGCAAGTTAACAAGTATATACGATATTTCCTCTGCATTTATCTACAAGCACGTCCAGGTTTGCCCCGCTTCAATCCATCATTCATCTCTCTTCAATCAGTGTTTCAAGGCAGGACCGGTGATATATAGCTTGTTTGGTATGGCTAGATTATTCTTCTTACCATTTTCTGCTTAGGTATTGGAGGCAGTATCCAGGCATATTTGAGCACATGGGTTTTTAAATGTATAAAATTATGGGGAGACCAGTTAATGCACTGCCCAGGCCGCACACAAATTATCCACTCGAGGTTGAGAAATCCATCCTGCTATTTCTTCGCGCTTGGCGCCATTAGTCTGGATATACCTTTGAGAGATGGCCAACATGAAATTTTTTCGGTTTGTGTAATTGCGGAAGTGCGCATTTCTTTTACGTCTTTTACTACACCACAGCGAGAACCAGTTTCTTTCCTCTCAGTCGAGCAGTGGGTTCAACTCTGAACCGGTGTGTTTCTTTTGTTCATCAGTCTTCCTGTTTCCATCTGTAGTATGAATCTGAGCGTGGGCGACTTCACCATGCTGAAGAACCCAAGCTGCTAAGCGAGGCAGGCCGGTATGACTTACCTCTGCGCAGGGGAGGAGAGGTGGGGGAGGGGGGGGGATCGTTATATCTTTATGTTCTAATCATCTGCGTCCCTCGTTTTCTAAACATCTTTCGTGGCGACCCTGCGAATTCACCGGCGATACAAAGCATTGGAGACAGCTTGTGGCAATCGGCTATCATTTGTTATGCTAGAGTAATAGGTTAACAGAGCATTCCAAACGAGTAGGAAACGAGAAATACACATTCCTAGAACACCAAGGGCCGCAGGCACTAGCATCCTTGCCGGGGAGGGGATCGCAGCTCAAAAGAAAGCTTCACATTCTGAGGTCCACATAATCTGGACTTCGCATTTCTACATATCCGCAAGTATACCCACATTTTTGATCATAACGTAATGAGCAGAATCGAGAAGCTGTACAAGCCGCATTTTCCAGCATACAATTCCCTGATGATCCCCTGCGACGACCGATTTTTTTCAAAGCTCCTTTTTCTTCTTCGAAGTCAATGAGAATATTCCAGAGTTGTACAGATTATCTAATGTAACAGTGCTAAGCATGCTACTGCTGAAAGAACAAATGAGTTTTGGAATCATGAAATCTGAACCACAAGTCGAAAGTTGGGGTTTATCGAAAAATTCGGTATTTCCAAAACTCGTTTGTTCTTTCAGCAGTAGCATGCTTACAGGAGAATGGTCAGAAAACGAAGTGGCCAATCCAGACAAGCTGCATACCGTTAGATGCAGCATGAAATGCTGACTCTATATCTGTCTTCCTTATCTGCTTATCGCTTTCCTGGACGAAGCTATAAGTCATTATAAGCCATTATTTTGCTAAGAAATTATGCATGAAAGGGAAAATTTGGCCGTACAGAACCACGTTCTGCTTAATGCAGGGCCAAAAACGTGCAGCTAACCTTACTTTAAATTTTAAAGCCTAAAGCTGAGCTGGAAGTGCACTGATGTGCTCAACTTTGCAGTTTTCATGCACGATTTTTTCACACTAAGGGCCGCATGCACTAACCTCCACGCTGGGGAGGGGATCGCAGCTTAAAAGAAAGCTTTATATTTCGAAACTCCAGATACCTGGATTTCACGTTGTGTACCTATCCGTAAATATTCCTACTACTCTTCACTATGAACATGTTGAAGAGGAGCGAGAAGCTGCACGAACCGCATTTCCCAGCTTTAGCATGATCCCTATGATCCCCGGCGCTTTTCTTTAAAGTCATTTTTCTTTCTCCGAAGTTAACGAGAACTTTCCAAAGGTGTACTGAACATCTAACACAACAGTGCTAAGCATGTTGCTGATGAGAACAAATGAGTTTTTGAAAAGTCGAATTTTTCGGTAAACCTCAAATTTCGACCTGTGGATCATCGAAAATTTCATGACTTCAAAACATCATTTGTTCTTATCACGAACATGCTTAGCGCTGTAGGGTTGGATAATCTGCACAACTTTGGAGGTTCTTCGTTAACTTCGGAGGTAGAAAAATGACACATTAAAGAAAAGCGCCGGGGATCATCAGGGATCACACAAAAGCTGGAAAATTCGGTTCGTACAGCTTCTCGCTCCTCTTCAACATGTTCATAGTGAAGGGTAGTAGGAATACTTACGGATAGATATACAACGTGAAATCCAGGTATCTGGAGTTTCGAAATATTAGGTCGTTCCGAAAGTAGTGTTGCTTTTTTCAAAAGTATGCCACATCTCGTGGAACAAAGATGTGTAAGGGATTCTGGTAGCATTCGATGCAGCATTTCATTCTCTTTATAACGGTTATGAAGTTTGTTGCAATACATTCAATGAGCTTCCAGAAAAGAGTCAAAATCTGCGACCTATGCTTTTTGAGATGGCCAAGTTTCACAAATTTTCTAAAATTTTATAACAAACCTCAGAAGGAGTCCAAGTAATGGATGGATGGAGCAAACCCTATAGGAAACAGCACAACTTTTTTCTACTTCCCAGAATTCGTCATAATGTTTGTACAGATTTTTTGATGAAACCACCGAATTTAGCAGGCTCGTCTCAGGCACAAGTGCATCAAACGCCAACAAGTTTCCGGATTTTGAAACTCACAAAGATGGATTATGGTCTGGCAACAATTTTACAAACCAAACGAGCATTCACGCTTCGGTTTAGCAACTTTCAAACATTTCGGGTACACCTTAAGGTGCCTTGGAAAAGTTGAATTATGGTGATTTTATCCCGGAAGACTTGATGAATCGGAAACAAAAAACGACCGCTAGAAAGGGGAGAAAAAGCTGCGTCGAATGACACCCGAGTAGTTTGCCGGTTGTTGTTCTGTGAGGTTTGACTTGAGTACTAAATATGGAACTTGATGGCATTGAGAAATTGATTGTAGAAACTCTGAGAAGCAAGCTAAGGAAAAGAAAAAATTACTCTGTGTTCTATAGTGTTTGCTCTATCTACCTGCCACTTGTGCTTTTTCGGAGATTAGGTACAAAAATTTAGAGAAATAGCCGATGACCATGGCAAAAAGCATGAGTCGCAGATTTTGGTGATTTTTCGAGAGCTCATTAAAATCATGCAGTGAAATTAATCTCTAGAAAGAGGATGAAATGCTGCATCAAATGCTCCTAAGATCTCTTGAAAATGTTGATTCCACGGATAGTGGCGTTCATTCGAAAAAAGCGACATTACTTTTGGAACGACCTGATAAAAAGCTTTCTCTTAAGCTGCGATCCCCTCCCGCGGGGATGTTAGTGCATGCGGCCCTCAAACTGGTTGTAGAAGTGATAAGCAGATAAGGAAGACAGATTCGAAGTCAGCGTTTTATACTGCATCGAATGGTATACAACTTGTTTGGTTTTGCCGCTTCGACTTCTGACCATTTCCTTGTTAGCACTGTTACGTTAGATAATCTGTACAACTTTGGAATGTTTTCGTTGATTTCGAAGAAAGAAAAATGACCTTGAAGAAGAGACGGTCGGGAATAATCGGGGATCATACAGAAAGCCAGAAAACGCGGCTTGTACAGCTTCTTGCTCCCGAATATGTTCATAGTAAAGATGGTAAGAATACTTGCGGAGAGGTTGGACAAGGTGGAATCTAGATATTTAGAGCTTCAGCAGTGCATGCGGCTTCAAGATATAAAGCGTACCCTCACAGCTCCCCAGCCCTCCCCAGCGCGATGGATGTACGGGGCTTATTAGTTGCAGAGTCGGAAGTCGGGCGCACCGCAATCGGCTCTCGCGCGACTGCCCCTCCAGTGCATCTCTCGCGGGCATGCTCTCTTACACTTTTCCACCACGAGCTTGAGGAAGGCGAAGCTTCGATCGCTAATTAAGCATGCGAAAATGATTAAAGAGCACGTTCGCGAAAAAAGTGCAGAGTTCAGGCGAGGCGGCCACGCGGGAGCGAAGATGCTGGCGCACCCGACTCTACGATTGATAAGCCCTGTACGTGAATACGAGCCCAAGGCCCGTATGCATTGACATCCCTAAGGCGAGCGATGCGGCATCTCCAATAAAAGGAAGCCACAGCAACGTTCGCCCGCGATCCCTTCATAATGGGTAACGCGGCTTTCTCGCCGCAGGGATGTATACTGTAGGCCTAGATCTAAAGTGATATCAATATGCGCGCTATGCTGAATTCTATTCCTGTTAACGCCGTTAGTAGGACGGACGCTGTGGAATTTTGGCCATGCTAATAAATCTGATATAGCTCCGTTCAGAATGTTGCCTTTCAGATTCTGGCCTATCAAACAGCCGAGCGTGAATGACGCTTCCCGCCAATTTGTAGCGCAGAGGGCGATCTCGGAGTCAAAGGTAGTGCTCTCATGCAAAAAAAAGTCAACTGCATCTATGCCACAAGCTCTTGATTCAGGATCTTCACTGATGTTTTATTGATCTTTGAATTGTATCCACTTAGAAAAAAACCTATAATAATTTTTAAAGTGATTGCGGGGACGCAGTTCAAAAGGAAACAATGATACCTGAAATTTGCCGCTGACTTGCACAATATGCTCATCTTCCACAAACGGTTCCGGTTCAACTCCTAAGCATAATTTTAGAGGAAGCACGACAAGGGAACCCTTTACCTTTGAAAAGATATGGATGTACGACGCACTTTCTGAGTTGCATATGAAGATTTTTGAGAGATACAAGGTTTCCGGTAGCATGCAATAAGGCCTCTGGATTAACATAGGAAGAAAACAAATTAGAAACAATGATATCCCTGAGTGCGGACTTACATAAACACTGATGTGAACTGACCTCGATCCTTTACTATGATATCCAGGTACAGACGTTTCTGCAGTTCTGTTATGTCATGATAGATAACAACCTGTAAAATGGGGTGGTCGTCCAGCCATCGGCAATATATACAATGCAGATAACAGTGATTCTGCACGAAAAATAAAAGAACAAACAGGGCTTATCAAACGCATGTCGCATCAGCATCTCCATTCCCGCGCTGGACTCTGCATCTCTTCCACGAACCTGCTCTCTGATCACTTTCCCAGAGCGAGCGTGGGAAAGGCGGAGCCTCGGTCAATTGAAAGTGACTAGAGAGCATGTTCGGGGAAGAGACGCAGAGTCCAGCGCGAAAGTGGAGATGCTGATGCAAGCGACACTGCGTTTGATAAGCCCTTTAATTGCATACCTGTTCGCACACCGGTAATTCTTTGCACACCTCTTCCTTGGTACGCCTCATAAGATACTTTGATAGAATTCTCTTCAACGCAGGTAGATTTGCTTCGTTTTTGTATGTTTCAACGAAATTCTTGCATGATTGGAGGTCGTCTTTGAATTGGAACTGAATGAATGGGGCTTCACGCTACTCACTCATTGACGGCAAATTCTTGGGCTTTTCATCTCAAGCCGCATGAAAGTGATCTTACCGGATCGACAAAAGTCAGCAAAGAGTACAGCTCTCCTGTATGGTTTTGAATCGGTGTTCCAGTCATCAGGAGGAACCATCCTTCACCCTTGTACTGAATAACTTTACGTCTGAGAAGGACAATCTGAGCAGCAAGAGTAGGTCTATAACAGCGTTAGAGAGGTCCAATGAAGTCATTCCGAAAAGTAACTTCAAAACTGATATAATAACGTGAACACTTACCGGTTTGAGTTTCTCAGCTAATTGTGTCCTAGTGTTCTTCAAATTATGAGCCTCATCCACTATTATAACATCGAACGAAAGCTCAGATTTTACCTGAAGGTTACTAAGCAGCTGACTGTCACGACGAAAGATCTGGAGGCAGACTATTTAACGATGTAGAAAATCTTAGGCCACTTACGTGGTAAGGTACAACGAAGACCGTATTTTTCAAAAGCTTTGCCAGGTGTTTTAAAGAGATACGGCGGGCCTTTTCAAAACCGAGAAAGGAGACAGGATCCAACAACCCGCACGAAAACCTGCAATCAACAGTGCCCAATTCACTACAAAAAGGGTGGATTTAGAGATATGAAACCTTTCGATTTCAGCGACCCAGTGGTCAACTACCGATAGAGGACATAAGACTAAAAAAGGTCCTTTACCACGAAATTTCATCCGCAACATTAGCATTATTGCCTGAAAACAAGAGAGATTAATTCTGATTTATGTATAAAATATAAGTGCAGAAAGAAATAGGGTGTTGATACGAGATCACCTGACAAGTCTTGCCCAAGCCCATCTCATCGCCATTTATACCGCCATGCCCAGCCTTATACCAGGAATCCATTACATTCACTCCTTCTTTCTGATACTCTCGAAGTCGCAATCCTGTGAGTAGCTAGTATGTGGACGAGGAATACATGTAATGCTTTTGCTCACCACGTCCCTGCCATTCCTTTGCAGATGGATTTACATTAACCATCTGGAAACCCAAGACAAATGGCTGTCAGTGTGAACAAAGAAACCTGCGATTTTCTCTGCAAGTTCAATTGATCAGAGATGCCGATGCTCGAGAACAAAAATGAAGCATGTCAGTTTGGCACGATCGAGCAAGCCATCACCTATTGGGGGCAAAACGCTTGGGAAGAGAGGATACTCATATGTAGAAATCAGGTGGTTCCTGCCCACAAAATCCACCCATATCTCACTCCCTCCTAATGAGTAAGGGAACGGCCATAGGTTGTCGGTGTTGTCCGGGTTGCCGCTCGTTGGAACCTCACGATAGCCTCCACGTTTCGCGCGCTCTCTAAACTGTCTCTGACCCCGACAACACCGACAATCGTTGCCGGCAACCTATGGCCGTTCCCTAAGACATTATATAGTGTGGACCCGGGCCAGCTTCCCATAGGTACCTGCGCGACGCACCCGCAACGCACGCCTTCAGCGCGTCTCCTGTCCTAGCTTATGGAAATCCTCCTTCCTCTCCTTTTTTTGTTTTTGGTGTACTATATTCTCTCTATTTTAGGTATTAACAATTCGCGATCACCGGTGACGAGATTTCAAGTGCTACAATAGACCTAAGAGCTTCAGTCTGTAGTTGTAGTCTTGTGTTTTCCCTTTTTTCTATGAAAAATTCAGATTTGATTGGACATTAAGATGATATTCTTTCAAAAGCTTCTTGTATAAAATAAGAGTCCCTTTCGGTTTGATGTGTAAGGTGTAGACAGTGTTTCAGGTCAAAATTGAGCCTTCCGAGAAGCCAATAGGCATTTGTTTACTAAAATGTCCACTTTTTTGAAATCGTTGACCACTCTAGTTTCTAAGTCTACGAAGAGAAATGTTTTGAGAATGCTGTTGTTCTTTAATTTCTTTACGTATACTTACTACAACCTATCCATCAGTACATGTTCGGAATATGCATCCATTGATTGAATTTGAGGTACTCATGAAGGTTGCCTGCGTTTCTTTCTTGCATACGTCTCTTTCGAAGTGAATCTAGAGGTTTCCACTTTACATTTTTCTTCTTTGTGAGCATAAATATGCTCTACTGCTCATGAGTGAGGCGAGAGGCATTGAGAAGGGCGCGCGCTGCGTACGCGCTGCGGAAGTACCTATGGGAACCTGACCGGGGTCCACACTATACCCACACTACCATGCGCAATCAGATCCAAATCCAAACACGATCGCTCCTATTCATAATTACATTGGCAAAGGCTCAGTTGACATGAGAAAAATTATGGATTATTTATGAGGTCGCACGACTGCACTTGCGAGATATGCTGCGCCGATACCCGTCCAAACCTACCCGAATCCGTCCGAATAAGCTCAAATCCGCCCAAACCCGCTCGAATCCATCTGAATCCGCCCGAATTCGTCGGAACCCGGAGACGCCGCAACTGCCAAGGCGCAGGGAGATAGGCGTGCAAATTGGCATATTGGAGCATGCGTGGGATACTGCGCTTGGTGCATATATAAGCTCCTGCAAGACGAAGGCGGTCGGCTCGATATGCAACGCGGCTGCGACACTGCTGCATCACAGCCGCGTCACAGCCGCGTCACAACCACGTCGCACATCGAACCGACCGCCTTCGTCCTGCAGGAGCTTATACCTATCTTATTGTTAGTCACACATACAGTCGAGTAGATTTAGCGGTAAATATAGTGTGCCTGCACAGAAGGTGAAATGCGGTGAAATTTGCGCGTGAACAAGTAGCCACGTCAGTACCGCGGGTATCTTGCGCGCGCAATTGGCCGGCGTCACAGTCGAAACTATTTCTTCACGCGCCAATTTTACCGCATTTCACTTTCTGTGCAAGCACACTATATTTACCGCTAAATCTACTCGACTGTACAATGCGTTTAACGAGGCCAAGGGAGACGGTCTTTTCGCACGGACGGTCTCCAGCGTCTCCCTGATTTTGACTTGTCTTAACATGTAATGCACGCCGCAAACCTTTCCTCCCCCTGTTTTGCTTAGGCAAAAGCCGCCGCAGGGTGTGTCGCGCGCGGGGATGATCCTGTGTGGAAAGCATTAGGGTCGTGCGAATCGTCCTACACCCCGAGGCCAGCGCCGCGTAGTGCAGTCAGACCTCCACGCGCGAGCGTTACCGTACGCCCAGCGTGCAGACCACGCACAACATCGCGACCCTTGTTTTTATCATTGTAGCTCTGATTTTCCGTTTTTGCAGCAGGCGGATTGCCATTTTTCTTGCTTCTATGCTCAAATGCGATCTTCTTGATACCGGATATGATTTTTTTGCAGTATAGGACGGAGGTATCAAATCTTTGGGCGTTTTTCCTTATGACATCGCCAACGCGCTGTTCACTCAAACTTTCTCTCAACCTGTACGATGTACGACTACACCTCACACATTCACTTTTAGCTGTAAGAAGGAAGAACATCAGCCGTTTTCAGAGTTACTGAATAATGTGATTCAGATTACACCTTCTTTTAGACCTCAAACCTCCATTTTGTCTTCCATTCGCGCGGTGATACTTTGAGAGATCACAGGAAAAACCAAGGTAGAGTTTTAGATAGTAGAAGCTCAAAAATTTGGAAGTAGGACAGCGAATAAGCTAAGAGAGAAGCAGGAAGAGTAGCTAAAACAAGGACCTTTTGCGCGACATGGTCCCTGCATGCTGCTGCACGGTAGCGCTCGCACGCAGGTGTGTGACTGCACTACGCGGCGCTGGCCCCGGTAAATGCACTGTAACTCGACGTTACATACCGGTTTTCATTCGCAGCTACTTGGATATTACAAGGATCAATCGACTGTCTGTCCTGGTATTCTCATGTTGGCTGACTTTAGGTGAGTTTTATGCCAATCTGCATGCATGAGGTGCATATGGGCCGTCCGCGCTGCGCGCGGAGAGCAACGCTGTTGCGTCCGCCGAAGATAGAAGAAGCGCAGAGAAAAACAGGCGGCGAGAGTGCACGGGGAAAGAGGAGTGACGCGCAATACACACCTTGCGCACTCTCCGCGCCCTGCGCGGACGGCCTATACCTCCTGCTTCAGCAGTTCCGGCGTCTCAGGCGGCTTCGGGATTCGGACGGGCTCAGGCGGATTCGGGCGTATTCGGAGGAGTTCGGTCAGTTTGAACGTTCCCGGGGGGGGGGGGGGGGAGGGGATATGTGTCGCCGAATGAGGGTGGGGCGCGGACTTCTTGCAAGAACGCACCTTTATGCATGTGCAATGGTGCATAATTGTAGCAAATGACCGCGGTGGCCACCTCCTTTCGGCGACATATAGTCCCCTACTCCCGGCGTGGTCTAAACGATGCCATACAGGATGCATAGGCACTCTAAACTCCCACACAAACTTTGGCAAGCTGGATTACAGATACAGATCCGATCTTGGCCTGGAGCCGTGAAGGACGATTTTAATCGCTCTTCAAAGAATCGCCATGTTTTCGAAATCATAGCCGGACGTGCCTTTTGAGGGAAGCACCTGAGTGTGTTTGCGAACTCAATGTCAAAAAAGTGAGTTGCAATGAAGCTTTGAGGGACCCGTCATACTTCGCCGAAAAAAGCCCAAAAGCGCCCAAAAAAGCCCGAAAAAGCCCAGAAAGGCTCAAAAGCGCCCAAAGAAGTCCGGAAAAGCCCAAAAAAGCCCAAAAAAGCCCGAAAGCTCCAGAAAGAGTCGGAATATAGAAAGAACTTTTGGCAGAATTCTGACATTATCTTATCATGAGGGCGACAGAAAATGACAAAAAGGCTCGATTGCGAAGTCAACACACATGCCTTAGCGCCTAAACGTGCGAAAAGTGTTCCGGCTCTTTCTGGCGCTTTTGGGCTTTTTTGGGCTTTTTCGGGGAAGTATGACGGGTCCCTGAGATATCGTTGGGTATCGTCGATTCGTTGATCGCTTGGACTGACGCGCATTCGGCTGAAATGTTGCGAGAGCACGACTTGTATATAATGGCGATTTGCACGGAAGCAAGCGTACTAGCTCGCGGCGCATGCTTCGCATGTATCCAGTCCGTGCGAATCGACGATACACAACATTCAACCGCTGAAAAGAGTGATTTCAAGTAATCTCAAGGGAGAGAATCTTATGTGAATATGGTGGACATATCCTAGATTCAGCAACATATCACGGTACAAACTCTCGCATGTTACACAAAATAGGCTCCCACATCTATCACATGGAAATACTCAAGCGATCCCATTTTTTCGAAAATGGGATACATATTGTCTTGTCCTTCAGGGAATTCACACCACCGCTTCCCTCTGTCTTATTGGTAGTGTCGTACCGAAGCGATGCGGTCGCTCAGCTCAATTCCTCGCGGCCGCATCGCTTGGGTTCTGCACTGCGTTCGCAAATGTGTCCTTTGGCTCAGATGGGAGCTTATCGCGAACGCATTGCAGAGCTAAGCGACGCGGCCAGACGGCATCTGAGGCGCTTGAGTTGGTGGATTTATCAGGGGTGGTAGCAAGTCCTCCGAAGGGTTCCGTTTTTGGGGATGTTCCCGAGGAATCCGAGGTGACCTGCGGAAAGTTCCCCCACAAGCCTCGGAAAGTTCCCGCAAATGGTCTGACTTGGAGAATATGGTCCGATCTGGCAAGTTTGGCCATGTCGGGCACGGCAGTTGGGCAGTGGAGCCCGACCTATCGACCTTCTCAGGCAACGGATAGGACCCCTCCGCCGGAGAAATGGCAGGGTCGCGGCGTTTCCCCAGCGGTGGGTCTCCCATTTGTCCGGCGGAGACCTCCCATTTCTGCTCCGGATACCTCCCATTTTCTGCTCCGGATACCTCCCATTTCCTGCTCCGGAGCCCCCCGATTTTGTGCGCCGGAGCCCCCTGATTTTCTGCTCCGCAAGTCTGCCGCGGCATACTGTAATTAGCCCTAATTAAGCTCCAAACCCCATGTGGGTTTGGAGCTTAGTTAGCATTAGGGCTAATTACAGTATGTTGCGGCAGACTTCGTCTTGTCTCTAAACTTTGTCGACTTTGTCTCTAAACCCCACCCAAATCAGCCGAATACGACCCCCCCCCCCCCGGGTAAGAGTTCAGCGCGACCCTCAACCCCGTCTTTACCCCATCCCTCTCACCCTTAGCGTTTGTGGATAGAAGATAGAAGAAAGAACGAAGAGATAAGACATTTATTTCAAATTTTTCAAACTTCTTCGAAAAATCATTTTATATCGTTAATCATTTCACATCCACTGGTGTAACGAAGAATGAACCTTTCCAACCAAACAACGGTTTGTGGAACAGTTAAATTGCAGTCGCAGTTGGCCCATATCATCGGCGACTCTTAAAAGCCTTAAAAGCCTCTTAAGCCTGATAAACACCATTAAATTTTTCTGAGATATGTGAAAGACATCTTACCATTACGTAGTAATCTCCGAGGTTGATCTCTTGGGTTTTGCCAACAGGTGACAAAGCAGTCAGAAGCGCCTTGTTCTGATCGGTTACTCCTTTAGCGGCGAGATTAAAATTGGTCATAGCCTAAAAGAGCTACCAGTATATACTGAAGTTATTAGAAAGCTGCTTGTATTACACACTTTCAAGGGTTTTTCTATTCCAGAGTATGCAATGGCACTGTAAAATGTCATGACAGGGCGAAGTTCATCAGGGGGAACGGTCAGGAGTCACGGTCGGCGCGGATTTTTCGCGAAGCGATGCCGCAAGCGTGTCAGCAAAACAGAAGCCAGCACTCCTGGCGCAGTCTTACTTATGGCACGAGCCATGTATCTGCTCCCACCCCCACCCCCCTAGACTGGCGCCGTGCCACTTTAGCACCGGGCAGTTGCATGGGGTACAAAACTAAGACGCGACGTGCGCGGCGAAGCGGCGCGGCGCGCGGCGTGACTCCTGACATGGAGCCGTTCATCAGGGATACTGCTTGCAGATAAAGTGCAAAGGTTCTAAATGCACCAAGTCCATTGCGTGACATAATGGAAAAACATGAATTGAATCAGTGGTATTTGAAAATTATAGCTTGCAAAGACACCTACCATCAAAACTGCATACTGCTCATGCAATGCTAAAGATCTGGCCAAGAAAACCTGCGCGGAATATGGTGATAGAAATAGTAATCCAGCCTGGACATAATCTGTTTGACAAAACAAGAACGACACTGCATTGAATTATACCTCGAGTATTTTGTCCAGAAAAACGTTGAATTCCGGGGATGGGTCAGCTTCTTCAAAGCGTCCTATGTGCGCTACCTTACTCAGCCAATCCACGCCCTCTCCTTTGAAGAACCAACTACATAGAGACACCTGCACATTATCCCTAGAAAGATTTCGAGACACTAGATTTCGCATATCTGGGACACGCATGCGTCTATTCAGGCCCACTTTGCCAATTTCAGAGACAGCTGATCGTCAAACAATCTATAATTATTGATGACTAGCTGACTTACCCGGCTCCGCCGTATCCGGACCAAACTTGGCACACATACACTTCGGGCCCCGGCGGGTGTCACAGTCCACTTTTCGTTATCGATCGATGTCGATTTTACCGATTTTTATCGATTTTTTTGCAGAGTTCACCTACAGGGCTAGGAGTTGGCACAGGGGGGGAAGTGAGCATGGGGATTCCGAATACAATATTAGTTTTCAGAATCATCGATTACTTTTATTGATTTTATCGATTTTTTTGCAAAGTTTGACATGCGAGGCTGGGATTTTGCACAGGGGGGTAATCGAGCATGCTGATTACGAACACAATATTAGTTTTCAGGATCGTCCATTACTTTCATCGATTTTACCGATTTTTTTTGTAAAGTTTGAGCTACGGGGCTGGGATTTTGCACAGGGGGGTAATCGAGCATGCTGATTACGAACACAATATTAGTTTTCAGGATCGTCCATTACTTATCGATTTTATCGATTTTTTGAAAATTTGAGCTAGGGGGCTGGGATTTTGCACAGGGGGGTAATCGAGCATGCTGATTACGAACACAATATTAGTTTTCAGGATCGTCCATTACTTTTATCGATTTTACCGATTTTTTTTGTAAAGTTTGAGCTACGGGGCTGGGATTTTGCACAGGGGGGTAATCGAGCATGCTGATTACGAACACAATATTAGTTTTCAGGATCGTCCATTACTTATCGATTTTATCGATTTTTTGAAAATTTGAGCTAGGGGGCTGGAATTTGGCACAGGGGCGTAATCGAGCATGCTGATCACCCCCCTTGGGGATGATCAGCATGCTCGATTACCCCCCTGTGCCAACTCCCAGCCCCCTAGCTTAAACTTTGCAAAAAAATCGATAAAATCGATGAAAGTAATCGATAATCCCGAAAACCAATATTGTATTCGGAATCCCCATGCTCGATTACCCCCCTGTGCCAACTCCCAGCCCCGTAGCTCAAACTTTGCAAAAAAATCGATAAAATCGATAAAAGTAATCGATAATCCCGAAAACCAATATTGTTTTCGAAATCCCCATGCTCGATTACCCCCCTGTGCCAACTCCCAGCCCCGTAGCTCAAACTTTGCAAAAAAATCGATAAAATCGATAAAAGTAATCGATAATCCTGAAAACCAATTCGGAACATACGTACACACAGACAGGCAGACATACAGACAGACATACAGACAGACAAACAGACATTCAGCTTTATATATAAGATATTGCTGAGTTTCCTTTCGAGATCAGAAAACTCAAACATCGGATAGTCGTAACGCACCTGAAATCTTATTGAAATACCACAAACTTGAGAAAACTGTTTTTACCCACACTGTCTTCAGAGTAGAGCTGAATTAATGCTAGCAAGCTCCGCGCAATATCAAGACGCTGTTTCACCACGTGCCGTAGTCGTGCTGCTATGAGTCCGCAAGTAAAGGATCCACCAAATAAAGTGTCATCGGGAGTCGGCTCTACTGTACTATCATTCATTCAAACAAAGGATAAGTAGAAATGCTATATACCAATGATACCTGGGGGAGATTGAGATGCTTGGATGGCTTCCAAGAACAAACTTATGATTTGAGACCATTTCTGGACCACCTAAGTTTAGAAATCCGTAATCACTAATATCCGATAAACGCATGTCGAATCTCACAATCTGTGATCGCATGAAAGTAGAATCATAGGCGGGTCCGTCCGACATCACATACTCAGCTAGCCCAAGCTCGTCTTCCTCCTGAATTCTGAGGATAAATGGTGGTTTAAAACGCCCAGTAAACAAAAGTCCTCTTCCCCTGATATGAGGCTAACATCATGAAAAAAGAAAAGTAAAAACAAGGATTCACCAACAAAATCAAACAATTTGACTAAACAGATATCAAACTTAGCCGCAGCTCTCTCCAATGCGATAGAAACCATTTTATCCATGCCTTCAGGTGGTTGGTGCCTCACGGAACACAACTTCTTCTGCTTTATCGTCTGGGAAAGAAACGCGGTGAATTAAACGTTGTTGGAAAGCAAGCTCAGTCCTTTCTTGACATTACTCACATTTATTGGCATGTAAGGTGACAACAACCAGTTGTCCTTCAGCCATGCAATAGGCGATCTAAATGATAGACTGCAAAATTTACTGCGTACTTTAGATGAGGATAAACACACCTTGGTAAACTGCGGCTCGTGCACAGGGGCTTTCAATCCGAGTGTCACGGTCGACGTGGTTCACCCCCTCGAGAGCCGCGTCGCATGGGTCTCTCACGTGGCACAAGGCCGCATCCGCTAAGGCCTTCGCGTTACCGGGTGCGGTCGTGTACTACGTGAGAGACCCATGCGACGCGGCTCTCGAGGGGGTGAACCACGTCGACCGTGACACTCAGATTGAAAACCCCTGTATAACAGATGCGCGAAACGCCGCAAGCATTGCCGCAAGCATACGCATGAGCTCCGTGCCCAACCAATCAATAACTCGTGATAAAGTGTAAATTGAACATACCAAAGAATAAAACGATCAGGGAACTGACTGTTCGCGGGAAACGTGCAAACGCCTGAAGATGGCTCAACATTTGCATTGATGGAATGCAAAGCGGCATCTGAAGACAATCAAAAAATCAAAACTCCCGAGACCTCGAGAAAAGAAGTAGAGCTGTGACTTACTAGTATTCACTACGAATGTCCGCACTGGTTTTGGCGCAAAACTCTCGGTGAAAACAACCTCTGTATCGTAAATGGGATCCATACCAGTAAACACAGATATCTTGAGTTGGTTTGGTTACGTCTAAACATAGTGTATACTAAACTGAAGTCAAAATCAACAACAACGACAGAAAGAGTAGAAGTGCTAAAGCTGAAGGTAAAAAAGCTGCATTACGAAAATTTTGAAAAGCAATGCTGCACAATGCAATGCATGCTCTTCACAGTTCATTACCTCTGCCCTGAAAACAAAATATGGTATGTAAAAAACAGTCATATTGATAATTCGCGGAAAACCGCATGATAATCCCACACAGACACGCGAGATGCGAACCACGCAAACGGCAAAGTGATTCATCGGTGGAGATAGCAATAAACGGATTATTTAAACGATACTTTCATCACAACAACACTAGGTAGTTGCGCAACTAACCTCATTGTTTCGAAAATCCAGAATTAATCACAAGAACCACTCCATCAATAGTCTACGATGTCTCAGCAAGTCGGAAAGAGCCAAACACTGAAGGTGATTGAGTGCAACCGCACGAAAATTTTAAACATAAACCTGAAAACGAGGAACTTACAGCAACATAAACGCCAACGCGACGAAGAGCAACGCAGAAAAGAAAAAAAAACGGTAGAGAAACGCGCAAAAACAACAAAATCAAAGAAACGGCGACTAAAATATGGACAAAGAGCGTAAACAGAGGACTCATCACCGTGGAGTTAGACGTTTGCTTGCTACGCGCCAAATCGATACGCAGCCTGCTCCGGATACCTCCCATTTTCTGCTCCGGATACCTCCCATTTTCTGCTCCGGATACCTCCCATTTTCTGCTCCGGATACCTCCCATTTTCTGCTCCGGATACCTCCCATTTTCTGCTCCGGATACCTCCCATTTTCTGCTCCGGATACCTCCCATTTTCTGCTCCGGATACCTTCCATTTTCTGCTCCGGAGGCCTCCCATTTCTGCTCCGGACCCCTCCCATTTTCTCCGGCGCGGCTCTTCCAAATTTGGCGGACACGCGCCGCGCAAATTTCTCCGGCGCGGAGTCCGCCAAATCTGGCGGAGTCGCGCCGGAGAAATGGCGGACCTTTGCAGCAGGGCCGGAGAAGCCTCCCATTTGCCTGCCAGTGATGTCACCGCGATGGACCGCCCATTTGCCCTTCTCTCATTGGTCAACTGGGTCCGGCGCGACTCTGGCAGTTTCGGAGGGTCCGGCGGAGGGGTCCCGTCGATTTTCTGAGTTATTGAAACTTTCGAAAAGTTCCCTCCCGCAGGGAGCTTTCAATAGAGTGCAAAAGACTATTGACTATTGAGAGACTATGAGTGCAAAAGACAAAAGACTATATATTCCAATAGAGTGCAAAAGACTCTTCTAGCTTTTCATATAGTAAAGTTATGAATTTTTATAAAAAAATTTCCTTAATTTTAGAAAAACAATCACGACCACCTTTACCCTACAGAAAAATTACTTCTTTCCTGGCAAGCTGTATATTTTATGAAAGCTTTCAACAAGGGTAATTCAATGTACAGCTAGAGACTCTCCTAGCTTCGCTGAAAAAGTCACAATTTTTTTTGTAGAAGAATTGCGCCAGTGATTATATACGCTTATTCCTCTCTTCTTGTATAGTGCTCCAACCTGGAAAAATGCATCTCCTGTCCTTCCTCATCCCTATCATCGTCCAAGTAGGCGGATTGTAGAACTCCACGATCCTCGTAGCTATAGCATTTGACAGTAAGGCTAACCCTGGTTACACTAAGGGCAGCATGCACTAACCTCCCCGCTGGGGTGGGAATCGCAGCTCAAAAGAAAGCTTCATATCATGAAGCTCCAGATATCTGGATTTCACGTTGTGTACCTATCCGTAAGTATTCCTACTACCCTTCAGTATGAACATGTTGAACAGGAGCGAGACGCTGCACAAGCCGCATTTTCCAGCTTTGTATGATCCCTGGTGAACCCCGGCGCTTTTCTTCAAAATCATTTTTCTTTCTTTGAAGTTGACGAAAATCTTCCAAAGTTGTACTGATTATCTAACACAACAGTGCTAAGCATAAAACTGATTGGAACAAATGAGTTTTTGAAAATTTGGATTTTTCGGTGAACTCCAATTTTCGACCTGTGGTTCATCGCAAATTTCATGACTCCGTACATCACTTGTTTTCATCAGCAACATGCTAAGCAGTGTTGGATTAGATATTATGTACAACTTTGAAAGCTTTTTGTTAACTCTGGAGAAAGAAAAATGACTTCGAAAAGCGGCGGGGATCACCAGGGATCATACATGCTGGAAAATGCGGCTTGTGCAGCTTCTCGCTCCTGTTCAATGTGTTCATAGTGAAGGGTAGCAAGAATACTTATGGATGGGTACACAGCGTGAAATCCAGATATCTGGAGCTTCAGAATATGAAGCTTTCTTTTGAGCTGCGATCCCCTCCCCGCGAGGATGTTAGTGCATGCGGCCCTAAGTCTTTGATGCAATACGTGCCATTGCTTGCAACTTCTTCTCTACACAAACGTTACGATCTCTGTCAGAGTTTAGAAATGATACTAAAAGTTGGGGCAATGACTCTTTGAGGAAGGAATCAATCAATGACTTTTCACGATTCCGCCATCTGCTTAGAAAATTTGTTCCCCTTCAAAAAAATTCAATTCAGCTGCGCGCCGATCATCAAAGTTCATTTATTATTTCACTTATTATTTCCGCAAATACGTGAGTAACTTCATTAACATATATACACGAAGGCTTCTTACGTAAATTTTTCTCAAGGCTTTTTCGTCGTTCTCTAAAAGTAAACAGTAGGTGGCAAATTTCCGACGTACTTCTCAGTGAACCTGCAAATAAGTTTTGACAATCGTAATATTAGGTTGAACACTAAGTTTTGCAACTTGTTTCATAACTTCACTCTCATTCAACATGGCGCACTCAAACTTTGGCATCATGTAGAATGCAATGTGAGCTACAAGTGAGCACAAATTGTCTGAATTTTGAACACGAAATAGAAAAGTTTCAGGCATTTTTCGAAAACTAGTAAAATTTGAGAATTTTCGAGGTTTCAAGCTAAAATGAAGCCTTTGGCAGCCTAGACCATGCGCAGTAATCCGGATTCGTCTACAAATTATTGCAAGAGGTTGACTCCTTTGGCCTAGAAAGAAAGAAACAAAATTTATGGGCATGTCGAGATTTGGCGTCCTCATAAAGTCGAACGAGTCGATGTACGCAAGAGCTGCTGGGGACGACCGTCAATGACTAAAGAGTCCGAAGCTCAAATTCCGCCGAGACTTCACATAGTAAGGTTATTTGACCTGCCGAATGCGAATATCATATTCATTTGTTGAATCAACGCCTTTTTCCTTGTTTAGGGTGAGACCCCATACCGTACACCTACAGTAATCCTACAAAAAAGCCCTTATCACGCAATTTCACTATCGCTTTCGTGATCAGCATGTCGGATAACACCCCTATGCCAAGTTTCAGCCAAATCCGTCAAACTTTGAATTTTTCCCCTTCATACCATACACCTACCGTAACCCTCACTGCGACGTCAGAATTTGGTAGGACAGCAGCTGCGCTTGTAGTATACATAATAACCAACACAGTGGCAAAATTTGAGTGCACCATGTTGAGTGAGAGGGAAGTTATGAGAAAAGTTGCAAAACTTAGTGTTCAACCTAATAATAATATTTAGAATCAACATGTCACTAAATTCAATTTTAGTAATGCCGCGAGTTTTATAATTTTGCTTAAAATGTTGATTTCTTAGTCCCACTTCTTCCAGTCTGATGCAAGCGACTCTGCGTTTGATAAGCCCTGTACATGGAGCTAACAGTTTTTTGGTGATAGTAAGATTGAGCAAAAAAGCTCGCTTATGAACCATTGGTTATATGTCCCTTATAGGCAGCGCCAATATTCTCCAGTTCTGCTTCGACATCCGCGCTTTATCTTCTCTTCCGTATCCAATCTGCGCCGATTTGCACTTCTGAAAGAAAAATATAAATTGTGTAAAACAGTCATGAACTTATTTCAAAACATCTTGCTTGCTTTCAACAGTGATTCAAAAATGTCCTTGCAAACCATTTTCGCCATGCGAATTCAGCCTGAAAAGCTTATAAATGATAGCTTGTTGTATCGTCGCCTCCCCGGTGTACGTTGGGCGGAGCATTTGCGTACATCTGAACATGCTGGTGAATTGTTAACCCTCTTCTGCGAGGCATTGTTCTTTATGATCTCTAGCTACCAACTCTACCACGTATGACAAGAGCATATATACGCGGCAGTTTAGAGAGTACAAAGAACCATACTTTGCAGTGGAAATTTGACAAGTCACCAACAGTCAAGATGTCTGCAAATGCTCCGCCCAACGTACACCGGGGAGGCGACTATACCTTGCTGCTGCTTGTTTCGCCTCTTAAATGACGGATTATTAGCGCACTTCTCTATCCTGAGGATTGTTTCATACTGCTGCACTGACTGCGGCAGACTGCAGCTGACTGCACTGACCGCAGCAGACGGCAGCAGACTGCAGCTGACCGCACTGACCGCAACGGCCGCATAGATCGCTGCATCCTTTCGTAGAAGAAAAACCAATTGCGATTACGTCAAAACATCGTGGTTTACGCCTAGAAAATTCATAAGTTCTAACTTGCTCTTCCCAATCAAGTTTTGGCGATTGTTTTTTTTGGTATGCTTGTTGATGATTTCTGTATCATCAACCAATGAACTCTATATTTTAGATAGCCTACGGAATCCCCGTAGGCTAAATTGTGAGCTACTCACTCTTGAGTATCTAATCACTCAAGAGTTGGTGCCCGTGCGCCAGGAGTGTAGCCAATCGACGGCATCTCCTTTCAAGCACCAACTCCTGTACATTGTACCTGTACTCGGTTCAGCTCCGCCTTCCTTCGTATATAAAGGCAGTGTCCGGGAAAAAAGTCAACTCGTCTACCCCCTGATCACTTGGTGCCCACCAAATTGGTGCATCGGCCAGTGATTTTCCTTGCATTTCCTCGGCGAATCCTCCTAAGGACACGGGAAATCA